CGGCAAAAAGGCTTAGGGACACCCGTGCACTTTGAGATGCTTTGTCTTATCTCTGCTGCAAGACCCTTGAGTGTCTCTTTACCTACTTTGGATTTGTATGGATATTTTTAGGGATAAGCATCGGGGAATTTACCTTACAAATGGAGTGCAGTAGCTTCCCCTGGGACTCTCTCTCTCTCTCTCTCAATTTACCCAAGATTTCCAATTACATAAAAATTTGGACAGGCTGGGTGCAAGGTCTACTTTTTTTTTTAGTCTGTAGCATGGGAAGGTATGCTCCTGATGAACATGGGCAATGCCCATTTGCTGCCTCAATGGTCCATCATAGGGTTCTTACAAGCATGACATCACGATGAGGGGCGATGAGGCCGATCATTGGTCTCCAACACCAGAAGAAGCACTGCAGGAGAACACATAATTTATGTAAACTTTTTAAAAAGTGCTGGTATGGGTGGGGTAGAAACAGAAGTTTTGGGGGTTATTCACAAACTGATGAAGAGTTTGGAGAACAATCTAGGCCAAAATAGCTGATTTGGAAAAATTATCCAATTCAGCTCACTTTCCAGTTCAGTTATGTTGTCCTACATTGTTCACTTCTCCTGCCTTCTCCAAACTCTTCACCCTTCTGTGAATAACCCCTTTTGTTTTTTTAATTTCCTAACCAGGAATATAACAGAATCAGTAACAATAACATCACCTATTCCTGAAGTCTGTATTTATATTGGTTCCGTTCTGGAGCTCACACCTGCAATGTATTACTAGTTATAAGGCATCTTGCTGTATAATTTGTGCAAATGAGCCGGGCAGAAGCTGAATTTATTCCATGGCACCCAATTAGTTTGCCCTTTTCCCTCATTCTATAGATTTTCCAGTCCCCGTTCTCTCATTGACCTTCTGTTATAGTCACAAGCACATTTATTTTTGCATTTTCCCTTTAGCGTCGCTGGGTGTCCTGAGACGGGAGGTCGCTTACAAATTTAAATGAGGCATTTGTTGCCTTCCGAGTCATACGTACATCGGTCATACATAAAGCAAACAATCTATATAACATACTACAAACAAATGGGAAGACAGCTGAAGGAAAATACATGCTTGCTAAAACAATACATTATGTTAAAAAAAAATCTTAAGCCATTACAGATAAAATAAATAAAATATATTTACTCATTTACAAGATATCTCCATTTTTTTTTTTGGTTAGTTGATATTTTAAGCAACAATAGCAAAATAATCAACTTTAAAAAAAGAAAAGTTGACTATACTTGACTATACTTTAAAACAGAGCTGAGAAACCCAGCATAAATTAACAACAATAATAATAATAATAACCACAACAATATGAAAAAAATAATAATATCATTAAAAGATTTAAAAAAAACATTAGCTGCAATATTCACTGTAATCCAGAGCTTTCCCAGTACTTTTTTTCTGCTGTTCAATGTTCTCTGATGGCCATGATTAAATGAAACCCACTTCCTCTAGTCATCCTGAACCCACCCCCCAGCCTGTGACTGAACAGTAAAAGGAAAAACACCACAGTGAAGAGCTAACTGTAACTCTGCTCTCTCCTTTTATCAGCAAGCCTCTTGTCAACACATGCACTGATTTGCTCCTTTTGCTTTTACTTCCTCTTCTCACACTCCAGCCCTGCTGCACAGGGACTACAAGGAGCTGATACCACGTCACATTCAAATACTTATAGGGCTGGATTTCCCACAGGGCCACTGAGGCCTGGCCTCGGGACAGCAGGGAGTAGAAACGTGGCACAGCCGCTGGGAGGGTCGTTTTTTTCTATATTTAGCCCTGCTTCGGCTCAACCTGGAGGGAGGGGGCAAGAGGACGAATGTTCCCAGCCGAGGGGTCACCAAAAGCCAGGGATCGCGGCCGGCAATCGGGCCCAGGTCCCGGGCAGGGCTCCCGCCAACTTGACCCTGGAGGTGGAAAGAAAAAAATCCGGGGAAAAAAGGACAAAGTGTCTGTTTTCGGCCAGCTCGACTTGCGGTTCAAATCAGAGGGGAAAAAAAACCAAGTCTCCTCCGGCCAGCTTGTCATGCTCAACCTGAAGGGAGGGGGCAAGAGGACGAACATTCCCCGCCTAGGGGGCACCGAAAGCCAGGGATCACGGCCGGCAATCGGGCCCAGGTCCCGGGCAGGGCTCCCGCCGACGTGACCCTGGAGGTGGAAAGAAAAAAATCAGGGGGAAAAAAAGGACAAAGTGTCTTTTTTCGGCCAGCTCGACTTGCGGTTCAACTTAGAGGGCAAAAAAAAAAAACAAGTCTCCTCCGGCCAGCTTGTCATGGTCATGCTTAACCTGGAGGGAGGGGGCAAGAGGACGAACGTTCACCGCCGAGGGGGCACCGAAAGCCAGGGATCGTGGATGGCAGTCGGGCTCACTAAGGGGTAGCGGGGGCCGGCGCGTAGAGCCGCTCGCCTCGGGGCCGGTGCGCGGACGGAAGTGGGCCGCCTCTCTCCCGGAGCGCATCGCATGTTCATTGGGAACCCGGTGCTAAATCTGATTCTGTCAGGGTTTCGCAAGTAGCAGAGCAGCTACCTCGCTGCGATCTATTGAAAGTCATCCCTTGAGCCAAGCTTTCGTCTTCCCTGAGGGGGGGGGAAAGCGTTCCCGGCGGTGGCGCCTGCCGGGCTTAAGTGTCGTCGGCCAGCTCGTCCCGCGAGGGCAGGATTCAAGTGTCTGCATTGTGGTCACAGAGGAGCAGCTCCTAATCAGTCAGATGTTTCTGCACAAGATAGAGTACTTATTTTATGTTCTTAGAAAGCTCCAAAAACTTTAATTCTGCCAAGTTTTTCTGTTTAGTATCAGCATATTCTTAGTTCCATTTCCCCCCAAAAAAATGAGAATAACAATGAACTTTTAGAAATAGCTTATGGTTGAACAGGGCACGAGTTAAGCACAATAGAATATCTGTGACATTTTTTGTATTATTATTATTATTTATATGGTGATGAGGTGTAAAAATAAAAACAATTACAAAACATTGGTGAAAATCATTGTAGCCGGTCACGAGTTCACAACAATAAAGAAGGATCTTTTGGCTTCCTTGTGGCAATTCATTTCATTAAAAGTTTGCTGTGCTCTCAGTGAGCCATTTGAAGAAGAGTTGCAAGAGATTGCAAAGTAACATTAGTTGAAAGAAAAGCGGCAGTTTGAGATCGATGTTTGCCTGGTAATGGAGGTGCTCGTCTTCAAAGCGCGCTGTCAATGTCTCCAGCTCACCATTCGGGATAAAAATATCAGAAAGCTTTCCACGTGGCTTAAAGTGCTTAAAGCACAATGTATGTATCCCTGTTAAAATAACTTCAGTTCTTTCTGCTGTCCAGGCATAAACTTATCCTGCTGTGACAGTGTAATACAGACCTACCGTGTAATAATAAGCCCAAACTATATTACTGCTTAGTCTACAAAGAGAAGATGTAATGGGAAGACTATAGCTTTGCTTAAACAAGGATACAATCTACACTGCCCGGCCAATAAAAAGTCACTAGCTCTAATATTTCATTGGACCGCCTTTAGCTTTGATTACGGCACGCATACACTGTGGCTTCGTTTTGATAAGCTTATGCAATGCCACAACATTTTTTTCCGTCCAGAGTTGCATTAATTTTTCCCAAGACCTTGTAGTGATGATGGGAGAGTCGGACCACTGTGTAAAGTCTTCTCCAGCACATCCCAAAGATTATTCATGGGGTTAAGGTCTGGACTCTTTGGTGGCCAATCCATGTGTGACAATGATGTCTCATGCTCCCTGAACCACTCTTTCACAATTTGAGCCCAATAAATCATGTCATTGTCATCTTGGAATATGCCCAATGTGCCATCAGGGAAGAAAAAACCCATTGATGAAAAAACCTGATCATTCAGTATATTCAGGTCAGCAGCTGACCTCATTATTGGGGACATAACATTGCTGAACCTAAACCTGACCAACTGAAGCAACCCCAGGTCATAACACTGCCCGTAATCCAGATGGTGATTTTTTTTGGCCAGGCAGCGTATATAAAGACTACTAGGGTTGAGCAAATCAATTTGTCCAAATAACAATTAGCGAAGGAAAATGGATGGTTTGCTCTGAGCTGGGTTCAGTGTGACCTGGCAATTGGTTTCAGCTTTTCGGCCTTTCCCTTAAATTGATTAAGTGGTCCAAAGAATTCACCAGTTTGGTTCTGGCACTTTAGAGTGGCAGCGGGACCCAACCCAAGCAGGAATTCCCTCACTTTAAAACAGTACTTTCTAATAAGGGACATCCTATGTGACGTCGCTGTCATAAAAATTAAGAACTAACCTTCCCTATTTGTAAAGCAACATACAGTATATACGGCTGTATTATATGGCCATTTATGTTAAGGTATGGGAGGACAACCAGTCATTACACGCCACCCGGCTTCCTGATTGGCATGGAGCTGGCTACCCAGCCAATCAGGAAGCTGGGGGTGGGTAATGACTAATGTGCTTCCTAATTGGCCCGGGATGCCGACTCTATGCTTCCTCATCACCTGGGGGCGAGGGTGCATGGTGCTGGCTTCCCGGCTAATCAGGATTAGACTTCCTGATTAGACTTCCGGTATTGGTATTCGGTATCGGCAAGTACCAAAAAAAAGTACTCATACCCGATTTTAAAAAAAACAGTATCAGTGCATCCCTGAATCAAACACTAATTCAACAAACACCCAATAAAATTAACAAGTACCCGAATACACTAAATAACACCCCAAACCCTCCCCCCCACCCAAAAGAGAAAAAATGGAAGAGCTAATTTTTTGGAAGCAACATTCATCAGAGCAGCTCAAGGACTGACATTAAGGCTTGGTTCACTTCACACCTGGGTGTTTTTCAGCACTGATCGAAACACTGAAAAACGCTCAGCAAGGGAAATCCCATAATTTACTATGGGCATGGTTCCCACTTGGGCATATTTCAGCCCGTGGAAACGCGCTGAAAAATGCCCCTATCCAAACAAGTACAGGAGCTTCTTTGGGCGTTTTTCAGCGCGTATCCATTGTTATTTCCGAGTGTGGTTCGGGGTTAACAAAGCGGTAACCCCGAGCCACACTCGGGAATACAGCGTAGGACTTACCTTGTCCGCGATCCCCGCTGTGTCTCCGGCCGCTGACGACTTCTGTCCCTTGCGAGCGGCAGCGTCGCAGGGGGGCGGAACCGGCGGGAAGTTTGAAAGTTTTTTTTTTTTTAAACACGAAATAAAAGAGGAAATAAAAGGAAAAAAAAATCATACCGCCAGGGAGGTAGAAAATACGTGTTAAAAAACCCTAAAAAACGAGTTGAGGGAACTCGAGTTCCCAGGAGGGAACCCAGGCTAAGAGTTTCTGCTTTGGCAAAATGTGTCTATGGCGGTGAAATCTTGAACTTTGTGATGAAATAAGATTTGCCAAAGTCACTCAAATCATTCCTAATAATGGACAAGAATAGTTTCTTGCAGATATGACACGAGTAATTGCTGTTATATTGGAAGGATTGAACATTCCAGGGAAGTAATGAAAGGGGAAGCTCATTATTTAAAGTGGGAAATCACTTTACATGTGAATATTACCTGATTAAAACCATAAACTAATCAACTTTTTGCTTTCCCGTCTATTTTTCATTTCCAACCAGAGTTGAATAAAATGTTGCAAACTGCCTATGTAAAACTTTCAGACGGCTCTTAATGTCTTAATATTCTCCATATTAGCAATGAGACAAAGCATCACTTATGGAAATGGCTTCTAATTGTTCTTTGATTGAGTAACTTGTCATAATTCATTAGCCGGATTAGTCATGTATCTGTATTGCAAGACTGTTCTCATTTCACTTCAGTGGCATTTTACAGGGAGATAAGGAGAATTAAACCCCTGTCCTTCTTCCGCGGAAAGTTAATTGTCATCGAGAGCTTCACGCCATTCCCGGTGAATGGGATTTGCCAGTGAAGAAGCGGCGGTGTTGACTTTTGTTCTTTATTGCGTTGTATCTACAAAATAAAGGTTAATAAAGCAGAAACATAATATAAACAATTCAAAATGAGAACAAAAAAGTTTGCAGGAATTTAGTGGGGGATTCCAAGCATGCAGGGAGAGGCGTTCTTCCACAATGTCTGTTGAAAAACTCTATAGGCAATACACTGAAACTGTAGGGTGCAATAAATTATTAACCTGTTTTTGGGGCAGACTCTTGGTTAAGAATGATTCCAATAAAAGAGACCCTGTCATTAAAAAAATAGAGGCACACATTCCTCATACTCCTTTAACCAGGGCCGGGTGTGATGTGGAGGGATGCTGTTAGGGTATGGTTGTCTCGAGGGGCGGGGGGCTGCTTGGTGGTATCAAAGAATGGTTGTTCTGGGGATGGGGGGTGTCCTGCTGTCAGCGGCTTTGTCCGGCATCCCTCCCAGCTCACTGAGGTCACTTGTTTCCAGATGTTCAGTGAGACACCAGCCAGAGCATCCTGCTCGGCTCCTGGCAATTGGTGTCAGAGGTTGTTAAGAGCTCTTAGCAACCTGGGGCGCTAAATCTGCAAGAGCAAGGTAGGAACAAAGCACATGTAGTGAAACTACAAGCAACCGAGCATCTAGCTGCACATCTGTGGCACCCAAGTAGTAGAACAGTTGAAGTGCTGATCTGTGACAGTACTGAAGGAATGCATGGGGAGCCGGTCTTATTTAACCCTCAGATATCTTGGGTCTGGTGTTCTCTTTGCTTTTGAGGTGTGTGGTGCCGAGATAGATTTCTCTAAGGGACTCAAAAAGAAAGCTGTGAAAGCCTATGGGTCTGGCAAAGGATTTAAAAAGATTGCCAAATTACCAAACAACTTTATCTTTGATAGACATGTTTGTCACAAACCAAAGAGGACTTCATGAGGAGAACCACAGAGCAACTGTGAAGCATGAAGCATGGTGGAAATGTTATGGCTATACGTTGCTTTGCAGCTTCAGGACTTGGGCAGCTTGCAATCATTATATTGATTTGCAAAAGGCAAATAGGCTGCTCACTTTGTAAGGGAATGTTCCTTGGGGAATGTGGTGACAAATGACTAAAACATATTAGCAAATCTACCAAGAAATGGCTCAAAAGTAAGAAATGCACTGAGTGGACAGTTTATTATGACCACCTGACGTTTGTAGGCAAATTAGCTATAATTTGGCACTGAAGTTGCTAGAGGGCCAGACCATTATAAATAGGGAAGCAGGTTGTTTACCACGACAGTAGAAGTGATTTGTTTCTGAAGATACGGGGAAACAATGCGATTTATCAGCCTTTGAGCGCGGATGATTGTTGATGCGAGCCATGGAGCGAGTATCAGCAAAACAGCAGAATTCGTTAAATGTTCAAGAGGGGCTCATTGTTAAAGTGTTTAAAGACCGGACTGTCATCCGAAAATCTGGGTCTGAACGTGCGAATTGTGGCCGTCAGCGACTAGTCAATGTTAGGGCAGAACGGGGGAGGGGCAAGACTGGTACAAGACAACAGAAGGGCAACAGTGCCGTGTCAGATTCCTCGCATCACCT